ACGACGTACCATTACACAAATAATACGAAATATATTTTGCTAACCAAATGTAAAAAGTACCTCGCGAGTCGTGATACGTCGAATAATAAGTTTAAACTTAAATTTCAATATTATAATCACCGGGTGCACGGTATTGATAAATTATTTTTAAAGGATGTCAGGGAATTATTTCTTTTCTGTGTATGATTTCGTTTTCATTTTAGAATGGAGAAAATCACCAACACTGGTGGCGTAGCAATAAATGGCCAAAGTGTGACGGTGCAGAATTATACGTTAAACGTTGCGTCTCTGCACACGTTGCACTTCGGCCATTCAGTGGATGCGGCAATTCCTGCCGCAATCACCACTGCTGACCGCAGCAAGGATGTAAAACGAAGTAAGTAGATTACTTATTACATGATATAAATGTTCACTAATAACTAACGTCTACCTCGTGTTTCAGGATGCTACCGTTGCCACAAATATGGCCACGTGGTTGGCGATTTTCGCGGTGAGTTTATATTCATTAAAAATTAAAATCATGTTTATTCTTTCTTATATTTCTAGCCCACTCCAGGCCTGGTAAAGGCCGTGAGCCGCGACGGCGGTCACCGCAACGCCGTTCAACCCTCGTCGTTCGGCCGCCCCGTAGTTCGTCGTCGCGGACACGTGGACCGCACCACAGTCGGTCGGATCGGGGTCGATTGCCGGCGATGACGCCCCCCGTCAACCGACACCCGTTGCAAATGATACCACCGTGGCCTCGGGAACCACGGTGGACACCGACGCCGAGCCATCTTCCGTAAGTTTATCAAAAATATTCTTATTTAGCCTTAATTAAATCCGAATCCTAGTCCTATATGAATTGTAGGAACTGAATGAAACTCCATCTCCCCGCTTCGGGTTGTGGAAGGACCATTGTAAGTTGCCAATCAGATAATTCCTTTAAACGCCATGCTTTTTTTCATTGTTTTACTGTTATTGTAACTTTTTTATAATAAAATGCTATTTCAACGAACTATATTATTTGCAGATGTTAATTGATATGCAGCTGAACAGTGTGATGGACGAGTTTGTGTCTGCCACGGAAAAAACAGTGTAAGTTGGCAATTGGAGAATTTCTTTTAATGACATAATTATAACAGTATTGAATTTATTTTATGTTTTTCAGATGAATAAAAACTTCTTTTTTTTACATCTATCTTGTTTTTTTTTTTTATTATGATAGTTATAGTCATGGTTGTGTACACACTGTTGTGGTATAAATTATGTTGGCTATGTGATAGGCGTGAAATTTTAATGTGGTTGGATCGAAACCAATATTTTAACAACTAATAAAATAATAAATAAATATAGTCTATGCCATTTTTAGATATATTTATTGCATAAAAATAATAGTTAGTGAAATACAAACAACAAGRTAAGTCAAGAGTGCACTTACAACCTATGGTTTTAACTAAACTTTACAAAGTATAATAATATAATAATAACAAATAATTAACAGCACAACGTAATGAACAAAAATGTTGTTTTAGAATAATTAATATGTTACATACTATAGGATATTTCATATTAAATTGTGCTAAGAGTAGCTAATTGCGCTAAGCTAAAACAGGTAATTAAATACCAACAACACATATTACTATCAATTTAAAAGTATAMAAGTTAAAAAGTATAAATCAAACGTAACATATTTAACAATATTATTTAATATATTATAGGCAGTTAACATAATAGTACAATGATATTCAATTTTAATTTAAGGCAGTTAAATACAAACAAAAGAACAAAACAAAAAGGTAGTAGGTCACAAGGTTGAGAATATTGCGAATTAAAGATTACAGAGAATAAACAAATTAAACACAAACACATAATAAAATGCTACATAATACCACACTAAATGATACAACAGTGATAAAAGCTGTTTGTGAGTTATTAATACTATGTACAAATCACTTTTTTTTGTTTATTATGCTATTATTGATTTCTTATTGTGTGTCTTAGTTAATTAATAATACTAAGAAAAAAAT